CCCGGCCGCCGGGGCCCAGCACCGTCTGATCCCGGGGTCTCCGGGCCTTGGCCCGCGTCCCGCCCTCTGCCCCCTTCCCGGGGCCGTCCCCACTCCCCCGGACCCTGCGACCCGGCCGCTCAGGCCGCGGCTTTCTGGGCCAGCACGGAGCCTTAGACGGGGCGAGGGACCCTGGGCCCCGGCTGTGTCACGAGTCGCGGCGCCCCGCACGGTGCCCGCGATCGCGTCTGTGGGTGGCCTCGGTCCCCGCGGGAGCCCGCCCCGGTCCCGCCGCGCCCCCCTGGCTGGGGCAGGTCGTCTGGCCGAGTGGGCAGGGGGTGCTTGGGCTCCGCCGAGTGGCCCGGGCGCCCAGAGAAGGCGAATGGGTCGGGGCGTCCTCCGTGGCCCTCGGGCCTGAAGGGCGGCAGGAGGGGAGTCGGGGGTGGAGGGGCCCCGGGCGCAGACGAGCCGTCTGAGGACTTCCAGACCCGCCCGCTCGGCGCACTCGCCCGCCCCCGTCCCCGGGGCCTCAGGGGTCACCTCGCGCGGCCCTCACACAGGGAGCACGACCGAGGCCTGGAGGAGGGGGCCTGCTCCAGGCCACAGGGCGACCGGGCCGCAGGACCCAGGCCGCCCCCGCCCCTTTCACTTTCATTGTTAGCACCCCAGCGGGAGGCGGGAAGCGGGAGGAAGCCGGCTCCGCCCCCGGCCCGAGCCGGCCGGCGGGCAGAGGTCAGGAACCGGGCAGGCCCGCGGACCCCACCCCCAAACGGGGACCGGGCCCGGGGAAGGGTCTAGGTCGACAGCGTGCAGCCAGCCACCCCAGGGTACCCCAGAAGACCCCGCTGCTTCCCGCAACAAATGAAAAGCAGAAAGGAAAAAAAATCCACTTTACTGAGTCACACCCAGCTGTAAACATGTCACCGTCAGAGCCCCAGCCCCACCCCCACCCCCAGGCACACAGTCCGCGATGAAATGACAGGGTACGTGGGGAGGGTCACGGGGTAGGTGCCAAGCAGGGCAGTGGGCAGACAACTGCAGCAGGCTCTGAGTTTCCTCTGGGAGGAAGCCCTGGGGAGGGCGGTCCCCGCAGGAGACAAGTCCCAGGGCCTCCCTGCTGGGCCCTGGGGACCAGGTGGCTTAGTCTCCCCCCAGGGCTCAGACCTCCAGAGAGGGCGTGGCGTCTCCTGTGGTGAGGTGAGGCTGTCCTGCAGAGGCCCAGCCCCGTCCCCCTAAAGGCCAACCAGCTGCCCAGTTCATGTTCCCGTGAGCTTCATGTCAGGCTGGGGTCTAAAGGGGACAAGTGGGACCCCTAGTTCCTCAGAGTCCAGCACTAGGTCCAGGCAGCTCCTCAGAGCAGCACGGGGCTCCTGCCCCGGCCTGGGTCCCCCGGGGCGTCCGTGGAATGTGGCAGTGAGGTGGACAGGGAGCCGGCCTCCTGCTGCCCACGGCCTCCCGGCTACACGGTCGTCTCCTGGTCCTCCCGCTGGATCATCTGGTAGTGCTGCCTGTTCTCCAGGTAGGCGGCCAGCTCGGTGTCCAGCGCCTTCTCAGCCCGCTGCCGGGGGGTGTCACCCTGGATGTCCACAGAGCCGCCATTGGCATGGGGACCAGGGGAGCCTGCTGGCCCCCTAACAGGCTGAGCCCAGGCCAGGGGTACTCCCTGGGTCCGTGGGGGAGGGCAGGACTGCTCGCCCACCAGCTCCTCCCCTCTGGCTCAGGTTTCTTGGGGTCTGGCCACAGTTGGTCACTTGGTTGAAGGACAGCTTCAAACCACCAGGGGCAGCCTGAGGTGGAGAGGGTCTGGTTGGTGTTACCTCCCTGCCAGGGCCGGCCAGTCTGCTCACCTGCTGGTCCGTCTTCATGAGCGAGGCCCCGGCCTCCACAATGTAGTGGCAGATGGTGCGCTGGCCCAGGGCCGCTGCCTGGTGCAGACAGGTCTCCCCGCTGGGGGGAGCAGGGCTGGCTGTGGACCCCATTCAGTTCTCTACCCCCCTCCGTCATCTGTTCCCCCCAGGATTTGCAAAGGACAAGAAGGTCCGGGACCTATAGCAAGGTGAGGCACCCGGAGGATGAAAGAGAGGGCCAGGAAGAGTTTATGGGCTGACCAGACCAAGTGGGAGGGCCTGGAGGAAGACTGGGTGGCTTCCAGGGTAACCAGAGTCCCACACTGCCCAGATACTCACTTTTCTTCCACGGCATCAAGGATTTCTGGGGGCGCTGGAAGATGAACAGGGGTGGTCAGAGGTCGGGCCTCCTCCCCACCTGGCCCTGACCCTGGCCCAGTGGCATAGCTCACCGTGGTCCAGCAGGTAGCGGACCACTTCCTTGCTGCCAGTGCTGACCGCGTGGTGCAGGAGCGTGCGGCTCCGCTCGTCCCGGTACGTGAGGTCGCCCCCAGCTCTGTGCAACTCCTGGAGCTGAGGGCAGAAGGCAGAGGAGGGTGGGGCCTTGCCAGGGCCACCCCTCCTTCCCTTGGCTTGCAGGAAGCATGCCTTAGGCACTTCTGCAAATCCCTCTGGAGCACCAATGAGAATGGGCTTCTCTCACCCGAGGGGCCCTGGAGCTTTGAGGACCAAGCCCTGGGGCTGGTGTGTGGCCAGCACTTGTTCCTGGCTAAGCACAGGGACAGGCAGACTGAACCTGGAAGCCCCTACTGGAAGACACCCTTTGGGCCTGGACAAAGGGGGAGAGGCAGAATAGGACAGTCACAGTGCAACCCAAGGGCCAGATGATGACAGTGCCTGATGAGCCCAGCCCAGGAGCCCCTCCCCAATGCTGGGGGGGGGGGGGTGTGCCCAGGGGGCAGCGGCGGGGCACCC